TGAGGGCTGGAAGGGCCCTCTGGAGCTCCCCCATCCCACCCCCCGCCAGAGCAGGGGCACCTCCAGCACACACGTGTGTGTGAGCTGTGTGCCTTTCTGGGTGCACTCTGTGCACACGTGTGTGTGCGTGTGTGTGTTGGTGTGTGCACTGTGTGCATGGTGTATGTGTGCTGTGTGCCTTTGCGTGTGCGCTCTGTGCGTGCACGTGTGTGTGCACTGTGTGCCTTCGTGTGTGCACTGTGTACATGCCTGCGTGTGCGCTGTGTGTATCGGTGTGCTATGTTGCGTTCACACATGTGCGCCGTGTGCGTGCGTGTGTGTGCCTTTGTGTGTGCACTGTGTGCATGTGTGTGTGTGCACTGTGTGCATGCATGCGTGTGTTTGTGTGTGCCGTGTGCCTTTGTGTGTGCACTGTGTGCACACACGCATGTGTGTATGTGTGTATTGGTGTGTGCATGTGTGTGTGTGTGCTGTGTGCCTTTGTGTGTGCACTCTGTGTGTGCCTGAGTGTGTGCTGTGTGTATCGGTGTGCGCGCTGTGTGCACACATGCGTGTGTTTGTGTGTGCTGTGTGCCTTTGCGTGTGCACTCTGCGCATGCCTGCGTGTGTGCTGTGTGTCCTTTGTGGGTGCACTCTGTGCACGCGTGTGAGTGTATGTGCGTGTGTTGGTGTGTGCACTGTGTGCACTCATGTGTGTGTGTGTGCACTGTGTGCCTTTGTGGGTGCACTCTGTGCGTGCACGTGTGTGTGCTGTGTGTATTTGTGTGTGCACTCTGTGCATGCGTGTGTGTATGTGTGTGTTGGTGTGTGCACGCATGCGTGTGCGTGTGTGCTGTGTGCCTTTGCATGTGCACTCTGTGCAAGCACACATGTGTGTATCTGTGTTGGTGTGTGCACTGCGTGCGTGGTGTGTGTGTGCTGTGTGCTTTTGCGTGCGCACTCCGTGCACGCGTGCATGTGTGCTGTGTGCATGCATGCGTGTGCGTACGTGTGCTCTGTGCCTTTGCGTGTGCACTCTGCACCCTGTGCATGCACGCGTGTGTGTGCGTGTGCGCTGTGTGCCTTCGCGTGTGCGCCCTATGCATGCCTGCGTGTGTGCCGTGTGCGTGTATGTACCACGTGCATGCGGGTGCGCATGCGTGCTATGTTGCGTTCACACGTGTGCCGCGTGCATGCACATCTGCGCACGTGCCGGTGAATTCACGCGTGTATTCACACGCGCGCATTTGCGCGGGCACATTGAGTGCATGCACGGCTGTGTGCACGCGTGCGTATTGCGTGCGCCTGTGCCGTGCACACGCGTGTGCGAGCGCGTGTGTGCGCACACGTGAGCTGCACGTATGTATATATTGATGCACTCACTCCAGGCACCTCTACGACCCCCCCAGCTCTGGATTTCCTGCAGAGAGCAGAACCCCGGGAGGGCCTTCTGGACCCACAGCGCCCGTGTCCTGCTCCTCCGGCTCAGCCCCGTCCCACCGCTTTGCCGCGTCTCTGCCTCTGCCCCGCGGCAGCATCAGTCCATCCCGACGTCTCGGAAAGCGGGAGGGAGAAGATGGGGCAGAGCTGTGGGCACACGCGCCCGAGGATGGAGGTGTCGCCGCTTGGAAGGTTCCCCGGGGTGGATTTGGGCTGCAGGATCACAGAGTCCCAGACTGGTGAGGGCTGGAAGGGCCCTCTGGAGCTCCCCCATCCCACCCCCCGCCAGAGCAGGGGCACCTCCAGCAGTGGCACAGGACGGCGTCCAGGCGGGTTTGGGATGGCTCCAGAGGGGGAGACTCCCCCACCTCTCTGGGCAGCCTGTGCCACTGCTCTGCCGCCCTCACAGCAGAGAAGGCCCTCCTCAGGTGGAGATGGAACTGCCCATGGTCACCTTTGTGCCCGTTCCCTCTTGTCCTGTCACTGGGCACCACTGGAAACAGACTGTCCCCATCCCCCGGCACCTCCCTTGAAGGATTGATCAGCGTTGAGAAGATCCCCCTCAGTCTTCTCTCCTCCAGACTGAACAGCCCCACGTCCCTCAGCCTTTCCTCAGCAGAGAGATGCTCCACTCCCCTCAGCATCTCCGTAGCCCTTTGCTGGACCCTCTCCAGCAGTTCCCTGTCCTTCTTGACCCGGGGAGCCCCGAACTGGACACAGCGCTCCAGATGTGGCCTCCCCAGGGCAGAGCAGAGGGGGAGGATGACCTCCCTAGGGGAGGGATGCTCCAGAGCAGCCTGGGATGTTCTGGGTTTGGCGGTTGCGATGCCAAGAAAGAGCTGTGGAGATCCCGGCTGGCGGTTGGAAGCGATTTTTGGGGAATTTGGGGAACACCCGCGGGCTCTGCAGTTAACCACAGGTGTAAAGCAGGGGAAGCTCGTCCGTGCTTCCCAGTCTTCGGCCACCACAACTCGGGGTTGGGGTCATTTCTCCTCGTGCCGGCCACACAGGGTTGCTTCTCCCCTTGGTTTCACCGCAAGGAAGCTGCGGTTGTCTCCGCGGCCACCGCAGGCGCTCTGCGTCCAGAAAGACTGGTCCAGAAAGGTCACCCACGCCGAAGGCAGCAGCACCCACCCCATCGCCGGCCCTGTGGCGGTTCTTCCCAAGGTCACACCTTGCCAGTTGTCCCCTCTCGGGGTGACCTTGGGCACGTCGCTTGGTTGCCTTCGCTGTTATGATCCCTCAGAGGCAAAATGTCTCCTGAGATGGTGCCCGCTGGGCGCCCGGCACAGCAGGGACACGCCATGACCGGTGACGTTGAGATGTCCCCACGCAGTGACGCAGGTGACAAGCAGGGACACGCAGAGGGGACCAAACAGCATCCCCGCGTCCCAGGAGGAGACCTCCGAGCTGGCACGCTGCAGACCAGCTTGGGATAATTCAGCAGCGGGATTTATTAACGGGGGCTAATTAACGGAGGAAAGATGCCTTCGGTGCCTGGAAGATGCTCAGCTCCTCCAGGCCGTCATCCGCCAGCCCAAGGCAGAGCTGGAGGGCGGCTGCTGGCCCCACAGTGCTCCCAAAGTCCTCTCTCCG